CCGCCCGCGCCACCACGCACCAGCTGATGTCCACCGCGGACAGCTCCGCGCGCAGCGTCCAGCCGCGCTCCCACATCGTGCACTTCACTGCGCACAGACACCCGCACAACTCACACTCACACCCAACAACAACATGACAACTAACATAGTAATTTTTAAACAAGTTACCGGTGAAAATAAAATTGTTCACTATATCTAGTGAACATATTTCTTAACTGACACTCACACACAACAAACTGCACCTAGGCGATTATCATACACAGACGTGTGTGATGCACAGATTAGTCTGCAGTTTACACTTGTTCAGTACCGCTCAATTATCAACTAGACTGGCAATCAACTGGCATAGTGGAACACTCACTGCTGCCAGTGATTTCATACAATTTACGTCTGGCTGTTGCAATTAACTGTTCTGACCAAGTATTAACCGCGCAATACAGGAACGATGCTGGATCGCTCGTAAAGATGGTGAACACTTGCACGGAAACACTGACTCTGGGACATCTGAGATGTTAAGTCTACATGGAATGCATCAAGTAATGACACTATGTTTGATGTGTATACTTCGGTTTTTAATTTAATTTGGGAAGTCGTAAGTGCTATATTTGAAGGCTTACCTGTATCACTAGTAGTATCGAGTATAGTAAATGGGTCCCACGAGCTGTCCGCTGTGTAAGGGAAGCCCACGTCCGAGTGACCTCCCTCCGATTGTGAACAGTAACTGCTCTCTTCGCCTGTTAAATATATTGCTTTTTACAATATAAGGTTTTAGTCTTAATTAAAAATAATAACGCACCATAAAACCAGATAAGAAAACAATTCTTTGTGTCAATTTGTTAAACTACCCACAACTATTATAAAAAAAAAACTTCTTGAGTTAACAATCATGCGAAATTTGTTATATTACATACATTTAAACGTAAAATGAGATATTTGAATGAAAGGTAAGTTCCTTACTGTTAGTTATTTGTCCAACCCAATCTGACATGGTGTGGTGCGAGGGCAGTGCGATAGAGGGCGCGGACGCTGAACATTCCCCGTCAGATGACGAAGACTGATAATTGTCCAGTTTCTGAACAAATACATTCAATTCAATAGTCTAATGGTTAAAATTACACATGCACTTTTAAACGGAATTTATCTAGTAACTAGCTCTTGCTTGCGACTTTGACCGAGTGATATTAAAAAATAATAAATATACCCTATGTTACTCAGATACCTTTCTAATGGTGAAAGAATTTTTACGTGAATCAAATACATACAAAAACACAAACTTTCCTCTTTTTAATATTAGTATAGATAGTAACTACCTGAATTCACGCGTCCAAAATTTCTTGATTCGATCACCTAACATTGTAAAATGAATTTAATAATTATCCAAATTCAAACAAAATCTAAAATTTTACAAAACAGCGTAGCGTTATAGTGGGAGTTACATAACTATGGAATTTTACCTTATCTTTTCGCTTCGTGAAATCATCGTCACTAGACTCCGGCTGCGTCGTTTCTTGTTCCCAAGAATTTCTAAATCTTACGCCGATTCTCTTTCCAATAGCACTGGGACTTCTGAGGATTCCTCCATCAGAGTCCGGATCAATTGATTTCTCGTCTTCTTCCTTCTTTACCTTTCTAACGTCATTTGGTTCTTTAACGTTTGCATCTCCATCAAATGGTTTATTTAATGGATCATTGTCGTTTATCAAAGGCGGTTCTGCTTCAACTTTTTCTTTAAGTGTACTATCTGATTGTGTTTTCCCTCTGTTATCAGGATCACTGCCATTGGAATTATATCCATTAAGGCTTTCGAAGCCATCATCACCGTCTGCGAATATCGGTCTACCGCTATTATTTTGCAAGTTTGGTCGAACATTATAACTATCTAAATACTTCTTAGTCAATATGTTAGGCTTGTATCTAAATGGGGCACTACAACTGGCCGTTTCTGGAGGTGGGGTCAATCTAACAATTGGCTCATTTAAATCTGGCTTCTTCCACGGCATATAATCTTCGTCATCAGAATCTTTGGCTTTATTCTTCTCCTTAAACTTAGTCTTGATTGGAATCTCTTGCTCTTTCATTAAATTTTCTTTGGTCAACTCTTTTTTGCGCTTCCTATATGAATAAACGAATTAAAGCCAACTTCATTACTATTTTAACAAGTGTATTTAGTAGTTAATTACCTTAAACCACTATCAGTAATATCCGATCTCGATAGCCGCCTTCTGAATTTAGTATGTTTATTGGTGGGAGTTTTGCTTTGACTTGAAGTTGCTCCACTTTCAGCCGAACCACCGCCGCTGCCTCCATCACATTCTGATCTTGTTCTCCTATTGGTTACAAAACAAAAACCAAAACATTACTAGAATATTCATGAATAATGAGAATAACAGTTTATCAAACTGCATTCTATTAATTTAGCATTTACTGAACACATAGAGAAACTAGCTGTTGCTCGCGACTTTATCCGCGAGAAATTAGAAAGATATAGTCTATGTTACTCACTGATAATGTAGTTTCGTAATGGTTAAAGAATTTTTAAAATTGGCCTAGTAGTTTTTGAGGTATTTCAAAAATACAAATCTTTCCTCTTTATAATATTACAGTATATACTATAGTATAGATAGGAAATAAACTTGCCGAAAATATCGCGGCAATTTCCGTCGATAAGTTGACCGTGGTCGTACACGAGCCAACTCCATTTCAGTAGTGCTAACGATCTGGGAGTGTACAACACTTAACACAATCATCAGACCCAACGGCAGGAGCCAACAATTACACTGAAAACAAACTATTCCTGAATGAAACACATATAATAGAAAAGTAAGAATAAACATACAGAAGAATTTAGTACCTCCTTTTTTTTGGGAAGTCTGTCAATAAAGAATATATGATAATTATTCTATACGTAGGTATAAAACAAAGACAACACGGATTTAAAAAATCAATGCCTTGATATTATTATTCCGAGAAACGTGGGATTGTATACTGATGTTCTTTTGTTTTTCACATCAACATAAATTATAATTTGTTTTGTTTTTCTTTAATCACAATAACTGTATAAAGTTTAAATAAAAAATGTTTTAATCCATATCCATAAGTATACTTACATCTATTTCTATGTTACTCGGTGCCATAAAATAAATTGTCATATTAAGCACTTGCAGTATCCATAAGCCAAGTAAGAACTTGGTGCAAGCGGGTGAAGTCTGCTGAGCCCACCATTGGTAAAGCGCCGGAAGGAATATGAGTCGCATCAACGCAAACCATACCACACGCCGCATACCAAGAGTGGGTTTTGCTTTTGGGAATGATGACCCTGGAAATATTTTCTTCCTTAAAACAGATAGCTGGAAATGTTGCCTACAAAAGTAACTTTGCTTGCACCAACTATTTTATAGATAGTCTATAAAAGCTGTATGTTTTTTACTCTTTAAAGACCATAGTCATTTAAACACATGAGTTGTATTTTAACAGTAAACAAAAAACCATGCGGCAACATACTGTTAAAAATAAGGTGAATTGATAACTTCCTTGTTTTGGGAAGTCAGTTAAAAATAGTAGTGATTTGATCACATCTGCAATATGTTGAAAGTATGTAAATGCAATTCCCCTCTAATTGAATCTGTCAATAAGAAAGTGTAATAAGTTATTTAGATACCTACCTCTAACTAAATCAACATCTATAAGATATGAACGTGCATCTGTTGAAAATGAATCTACAATACGCCTGCGATATTTGCCACGCATAAGCAATTGTTCCACCATAGTCTCCCATTCCTCCTTATCATAGGAACTTATCTTTTTCTGGTACCTAAAAACAGTGTCACATTTTACTAAACTATGGAAAATATCTATACATTTGTTTGTCATGAAATGTACCTTTACACTTCATAATGGACAAATTTGAGATACTCAATGCAATTATGGGTACAATGTTTTGCTGCTAGTTTAGAGAGATTCTTAGTTTATTTTTAATTATTAAATGTAAAGTAAAGTAAAAATGTTTCTACTTTAAAATGAAGTTTAAGTACCAAAGTTAAAGAAATTGTTGCAAGTTCTCATACTTTATCACATTTAAGATATTATTATCCTCATTTTTATTTAATGTTTTACACAGAGACACAATATAATAGCTTTACATGATTTTCCCATTTTAATTCTTTGATGAGAGAATGCACAATATATTTTAATACTCTTTACACCAAGCAAAAAATTATTACACATATGTAATAGATTTGATGATGCTAATTCTTTTTAGTGTTGATTATTTTACACATTAACTTAATGATTGTCTTTTATATCAATTAAACTGCTATTAAGGACAAATCTAACAGAGACAGCTGTAAAAAAGCTGTTCAGATTATGTTGATAAAAAAAAACAAGGATTACAATAAAACCAAACATATTGAATATTTTTAAAAACATTTAAATAAAAAATATTATATTAGCAGTGGATACTCAATGAAATAAATACATTGATGAACATAATCAGGAGTTTCATACAAGCAAACTAAATAAAGAAGTAATGATCAAATATCATTTTATCAAGTTTTTTTTTCTAAATACAGTTTTTTGTTTTCTTTTTTTTACTTACCAAGCTGCCAGCTGCATCATGATGAATTCTGCACCACAATCAATTTAAGAAAATTATTTTAATCTTTCTTCTCTTCACTTTTGATTTATATGAAATTGTATCATGCTAAAAAATATATCATCATCACATAAATTCTTACCAAATAAGTACAATGTATGTTCATTTAGTGTCTACCAAATGTAAAATGTTTGTAAAAATATACACTAAGAATTTAGAAGAGTCGTATTAATCGGTGTACAGAATAAGGCTCGCAAAAAAATAATTTTTATTTTCAAACTAGATAAGACAAAACAATAACTTTATGTTTATTTTTGTTTTATTCGAATTCTGCACAGTAGTTATCATAATATAAATTAAGCTTTCTATTGAAATCTTGTCTCGTCAAAATTTACATATCGAAATAGAAGGAAATGTAAATTTAAAATCATTAATATTATTTTAGAGATTTGCGCTACTTACAAGTTCCCATTTTTCATCAGTTTTTTACATCTTTGGTTTGTATTAATTTACCACAGCTTTTAATAATGTAAGTTACACTTAAGTCAGAGGCTAATAACACGTAAAGCTAAAATAAAACACCAAATTAAATGGGTTTCACGATTAAATTATTAAGATAGCACAGCAGCAGCAACTTTTCCAACTGATGACAGTTGACACTTGGCACTTGACAGATTGACTTTTTTGAGTTACTGTCAAAACTGAGAAGCGGAAACCGACTGAATATTTTGTCTATGGTTTATTTCTATCGTAACTCTCATCAGAAGTGTCTTCCATTACAGATAGCAGATGGCGTGGAGCTATTAATTTTACTTTTAGCTTAAAATCACCCGTTTTTTTTATATTAACAAAAACGAAAGGTTTTTGGTGGAGCATCTAAGAGAACAGATGTGCCTTCTATTTTCCTTTGCAGGATGTACCCATTTTCACCAACCGGCCCCTAGACTATTCTAAGGTGTATCTTTGAAAAGGGGTATACCTAAATGTAAATATTTTTTAACTTGAGCTCAGGATGTTTAAATTGCCTATATTGACTTTCCACCCCTTTAGGGTCGATTGGTGAAAATGGGCATTGTTGCTTTTTAATTAAATAAAACTAGGATTTAAACAAAAATATTATCTTTTATTTATAACAGTTATAAAGTTGTATACTTAAATTATTCGTTCAATTTCGATGTAAACATATTGCAAGTGTAAATACATGTAAATTGCATTGAGGATGCAAAGTTCCGCCTAAAATATCATAAGATAAGTTAAATGTACAATATTATACAAGTAATACAATCGTTAGGTTTTATTTTCTTTAAGAAAACGAAAAACAGACAGAATGTGCATTTGCGAACCAAGTAACTTACACGCAAATCTTTGACTTATATATCCCTAAATCATTAAACTCGTTTGATTTCAAATTTAACTAGGGGTATTTACTCGTATTGCGTTACAAAAGTATAATAGTACGAAGTCGTATATTTCCTAATGGAAGTCTTAAAAGCAGATATTTATATGTAGAAGTCAAAAAATCTGTTGTGATATTATTTATCTTAATATACATACTTGTATTCATATTTGCAGGTATGCATTAGTTCCCTAATATTCTAGACTAGACCTATATTATTAACTACTTTGGTTGATGTTACATTATAAATATAATACTAAATTAAGGTTTGATATAAATGACGAACAAAAGAACTTATTGCAGACTTATAGGCGGTCTGTTATTAAAGATGACTCCATTATGGAAAACAATAGATAATTCTGCATACGCTTATTGAATAACATTCAATGTTTCTAAAATTATTTACATTTTTAAAACATGTTTAATGAAAATAATTTCGAAGCAATCGATCCACGATCCACATTTTAATTTATCACAATACCTCAACAAACTGTACATTAGAATGTAGTAACGTTTTTTAATTTAACATTGACAAATTACTTCTCAAGTATCGGTTATTTGTTGTTGATGCATCGTTATCAATTAACTTAAAATAGACGAAACATATTTTCTAACTAAATTAAGAAGATAGTGAGATATATTTGTACTACTTTGCAACCTTAACTACTATAACGTTTTATGCTATTTTTTTAATTAAAGTTCAGTGGTAAGTTCGTCTTGAGGTCGCCTCGTCATTTCAAATAATTCATCTTCGAGCCACACACTTTCTCTTCTTACAATCGGTCTCCTCTCCCAGGGGTCGGAGAGGGTGATTGTCTCTTTTTGTCTTTCTATTTGTGAATAGCTATCTTTCTCCCTCTCTATCTGCGAGTAACTCGGTGGTCTGACGTCATTCCATTGGTTCTGGTTTAGCTCTTTGTCTATTGTATGGCTGTCAAATGACGTAGGCGAGTAAGATGGCGGCTTGAAGGTTGAAAACGATTGTTGTGTGGTTTCAGAATCTGACTCCTGACTCGGTGGTGTTGGCAGGAAGTTTACAAGTTGACTTTGTTGCTGTTGAGTCACATTCATTCGGCTGTATCGTTTCAGTATCCTGTAGGGGCAAGCGATTTGATAAATAAAATAGTCATGTGCAAATAATATGGATTGATTTTTGTATGTCAATACAGTCGCTGCTATAATGCCCGGTTCACACTTAGTCAGTAAAGTCGGATAGTTGCGACGGCCAGTCATAGATAGTATGGACTCACTGGTGCAAGTTAACGTTCACAGTGTGTCAGTTTTGCACCGTGACAGTCAGTCATAGAGGTTACTGGCAAAGTGTAAACCGCGCATTAGCAATTAAAAAAGACAAATTGGTTACCGTTCCGCCCAACTGGCGAGCCTGGGCCACTCGTCTGGCACGACCGGCACCTGCTGCTTGTTGAGCAGTATAAGCAGCTTCGCCAAGTCGCTCAGCACGCAGCTGCAATATAACTAATATTAGAACTGCTGGAAATAACTTCGGCATGCGCACAGCTTCACCGTATTGCACGTTTATGGACTTATAATGTACGATTCGAATGGCAGGGATATTAATTCGCAAATAGCATTTAGCTACTTCAAATGGAATAATCTTATCTTCTTAGAACACTACTGATAAGTTTACGAAATATTGAAAAAGTTCTTTAATAAATAGTAATATTTTGACAATAAATAACATTTATTTACTTACTTATTTCTTAGTTAAAAATAACCATGAACATTAGGTAGCATTAGTCACATAATATCTCTGTGTTAAAAGGTTTTATACCTGTAAGCCATAGCTGCGTCGTTATTGCCCAATTGGTAAAGCTCTCTCACTTGATGCCGCGTGTGGTTTAGGATTGCAAGCAGAGTGAAAGCGTGAGGCTGAAACAAAAAAAAAAAATAATTGCATGTTCTTAATTTAATATTTCAACGGGAAGGGCATATTTAGATAGATATACAGAATGTTTTCTTATAGGAATATTTTTATTAATTCAATTTCAATGGAACGGAAAAGACAATGTTCCTCATTTTTAACAGTCTTACAAAATACATACATAATAGTGGGAATGTTATCGAAAGCACGATTCTTCAAGTCGAGATTAATGTTCTTTTTTTTTTTTATAAAGAAATAGCTTGCTTTTTATAGTATTTTACAGAAAACAGAAACTACTAAAGTATTACCGTTTAAAATATTTTAAAATCCATCGAGTGCGATTGAAATCGCTCACAGTAGCGGAACAAGACGAAAATAAGTTTTGACTTTGTAGCAAATGTTACATTGAGTTTAAGCACTAGTTCTGATTTGTATTACTTTTGTATTCGCGTCATTGTTATTTTATTTTTAGCATTTTAGTCATCTCTTCAAGAGTCAAAGCAGCTCATACGTATGATTGTTGTAAGCCCATAATATAGAACAACAACTAAAAGAAACGTTACCCATTGGTGAACTCAAATCATTTGAATATGACACATGTTATTGAGGATTTATGGAATAAACAATACAATGCAGACCTTTGACTAAACTACCGCACAACTGTCGCGCTTTGATTCCTATGAGGTTATATGGAGGTGCGCTTACTTCTCGATTTTTAGTTGTGCAACTAACGGTTGAATGGGCTGCCAAATCATTGACAATCACAAAACAGTTGTGTGATAGTTTAGTCAAAGGTGTGCGCCCGCTCTAAATGACAAAATAAACAAAAGAAAGGAACTTAAGGTTGAAGAAAGCGTGTAATTATAATAGTACGATCATGTTTGTAAAGAGACGGGTGGTCGAGCAAGTCACGATATCATACAAATCAAACTGGTTCCCTGACAGACGATAGGGGAGAGTGAGGTTGAGGTGAGAAGTGAGATTTCGAAAGTGGCAGTCGTGTATCAGATGTCAACACAATGATACATTTCTCCGCAACATAATTATGGTCATTTCACGGAACGTTAAGGCTTGTTAGCAAACGTGTTGGCAACATGGCGTTTACTACTTGTGACAGTTTATGTACTCATTCATTAATTCGAAGTGTGCAAAGAATAGGCAAAGAAAAAACTAGGATGATCATATTCTACGGCAAAGATAGTTTTGTTTAGCTAAACTCTGGTGTTTTTTGTTTGTGCATGTGTTCAGTTTAAGAGAATTATTGGCATTATCTTTATGAATCTACTATTTTCCTAACGGTATTGAAGAGTTGGTAAAACAATACTGGGCGATTATCTTTCCGTTAACCGATATTCGTTACCTTCATGGACGATCGCTTTGACGGTATTGTCATAGCGGCTGTCGTCGGTTCAATAGCTAACTGGTACATCTAAATTATGTTAATTTGTTTATAATTGATTTAACAATTTCATTAACTCTAATTAGTAAAATAACTGCGGTTTTAAAACATTTTTAGCATGCTCGGGAAGGTACAGCGATTTCATATTTTACGAATTAACATTATTAATTTCTTTGCGAAATCTTTGTGTTTTTAACCATGCAGTTTAGATCTAGTCGTATCTTCTCCATTAATATTTATTCCAGTCTAATAAAATTACATTTGGCTGTGATCTCATCCAAATGCAATTGATCCTGTGGGAACGCAATGCAGTTTTGTTGTACTTAAATGGCACTTAAGATGAGAGTCGACGACTATCTCGAGAATATTGCTATTAAGACTAGCTCTCTTTAATTGCTTAGTATTAATTAAATTTTTAAAAAGAGTTATATTATTCTGCCTTAGAATTTTTTATAGAGATGTACTTGTGAGGGAAAAACGATGGACAATTTAACAGTTTACATTGTGAGTGTATAACGTACCCGTAAACAATCGAGTTGTTTATGAAACTCTCTTAGTCTTGCATCGTCGTCGTGTTGCGCGAGTGGGGGCAGAGGCTGGGGCTG